CCATTGTGTATGCATTTATTACTGATCTTTTGCCATACAAAGCACTAAATAACATATTCTTAATAGAAGATAAAGATAAAGTCTGAATCAATGATATGTGAGAATGATAAAATGGAATTATAAAACCAATGAACTTTTTAAAATCAAATTAACTCACTACTAACAAAGTGCCTTTTTTATATAAATATCCAAATCACAATAGCTGTGTGTTTAACTACGGACTGCTGAACACTTATAGATGGATGCCAGAGCTGTCGTTGCAACCAAAAAAACTGAACATATTTTAATGTTTCTTAAAATCTTCCCCAGTATTCACAATTTACAGTTTAAATACCATTTCTATTCAGATTCAGGTTCCATTGCTGTCAGTGATGTTTAGTCAAAGTAGCAACTGGCCACAGGCTCTCAAGCTTACAGTTAAAAGCAGACAAGAAATAAATTGGTAAAATAGATGAACTAGTATTTCCCTTTTGTGTGCATATGAAATTCTGTACTATAGGAGTCAATGTTCATTACTGTTCCCCCTTCATATAAATGAAAAATAATAAAAGTACAATGATGAGATTGTTACTTGGGAAAAGGATGTATGATTATGAAAAATCATAATTCTTATAACTATAAAAACAGCTTTTGTATAAAGATGAAAAACAGATATGAACTGATGAATTTTACAGTATTAGCAACATCCTGGGAAGAGGTTATCACTGTTAACTTAGAAAATTATTAAATTTCAAAGGATAAAAACTCGCTCTGCAAGGATCTGTAAGGCATGTAGGCTATAGAACCCAAAGGTTTTAGTCATGTTTTGAAAAAACTCAGTAAATTTATTAAATTTTGTTGTTAGATTAATTAAAATCATTAGAACATTTTACAAACAAAATTTCATGCTCTTATTTCAGTTTAAAATATTTAATTTCCTAGCAAAACGGTATATGAACTGCACGTTAACTAGAATAGTTCAGCAACTACTTCGCTAGTGTAAAAAATTGCATAATGCCATTTTTTCTTATGAAATGCATTGTAAACAGACAATGCATAAAACAAAGAAAAAAAAATGTATGTTCCTGTGGCTGATTTAGAATACTGTACATTGTGAGGAGATACATAATCTTGAGATTATGGTAGGTATTAGAGTATTAATGATGTATCTTCTCTCCCTTCCTGAGATACATAGATTCTCTCCATTTGATCTAATTCACCCAATACCCTTAACCCCATTCACGTTTTACAAATCCTCACCATACTTTATATGCTCTCCCCTTTACCCTTTTCACTATCGTATTATTTAGCGCTCTACAACTTTGATATCTAGCACAATTTACCTTAATTGTTTACTCGTGTTTATGCTTTTTGCCTCAGTCCCTTCCATATAACCTCTGATGTCTAGCACATTTATTTGTTTTAACCATTAACCATCTATGTGTATCTTCCTGTAATTCACAATGTATTGCATATTCCCTCAATTTAGATTCAAGAAATGCTTTAATTTCTCATTACAGTTACATAGGCCCTGAGGGGTGGCATGAGGGGCAGTAATAGTTCAGAAAGAAATGCCAAATGATATATCAATATTGCATCATAGTGCATGCCACAGACTGTATATGCTCATTATTGGATGAACCACACCGCTGTTGGATTCATGGGTATGTGTTGAGCATAAAGATAATTTAAATACTGTTGTATTTAAAATGTGAGGTCGGAAGATGCAGTTATATAGACAATTTTCATGTCAACAGAAATCTCGTAAGCTTACTCCACTAATTTTAGGAATATATTTAACCATGCATATTATAGATGAAAAACAAAAGGGGGACACCTGATAATTTGTCCATGGTTTCTGGTAAGGATAAAAGAGAAATACAAACTGGAGAGGCAATATTACTATGTCAGTAAACAAGACGAAAAACATGAAATTGTTACAAGCAATTCTTTAACTCTTTTTGCGAACTTCAACATAAAAAGTAGAACACCTCTAGATTGGCATGATATCACCATCCAAAGGCATAGCACATTTGAAATAATAACTATCAATGTACAGAACCTTCCTACTCGATGAACCTTTTGCACGGAAACACCATATTTTTACATTTGTATCTCCCTTTATCATTGGCTAATCAATCATGTTTATTGGGACCTGTAACTGTATTATTTTTCATAGTAAAAATATGTATGACTGCTGTCTGATGTCAGTACATGATCTAAATTTCTTAAACACTTTTGAAACGTGTCTCTTGTACAGGGTCATAATAATCCATCTCCCATTAATTGAGATTTTCATTCAAAAGACCATCTTAAATCTATGTAAGAACTGGGAGAGTAAACTGATTCTTCCAAAAGCACAAAAACAAGTAATTACAAAAACTGTGTAATTCACTTCAAGTTTACTGAATTAAAGCAGTACATAAGAACAAAATGTTTACTATTTTTATCATTTTGCACTTTTCAATCAAAAATTGGTCTGTCTTTCAAGATTATATGCCAAAGGAAACTACGTTATTCAAGTTTAACTTAACGACAAATTGGCTTTTTTCTTTTTACTTATAGGTCATACTTCATCTTTTAAATGCAAAATGCAGTGCACAACAATGAACACAGTCTTATTAACTACACTTAAAATGAATTCTTTTACTGCTACATTTTTCCAAATAATGGTGTTATTCTAAACTACTCCACTATTGAGACAAAACAATCCTTTCTTTAGCAATTCATTATTTATCAAAATCATTTGTCTTTCTTAACCTATATAGCTTCTTCCTTACATGTTCCTACTTTCTTAATAAACCAAGTAAAAGTGTAAAAGGAAAGGCGTAAGTCAATAAGAAAACTCAGTTATATTGTAATATTGATTTCACTCTCTTTGCCCAAAAAGAGGGACTTCTAAAAAAAATCATTTTTTCCATCCATGATATTTACAAAACCAAAGGTCACTTAGTGCTAAAAAGAAGTATTATACTCTTCATGCAACTTTAATCAGTGGTTTCACGAGGGAAAAACTGCCAATGATAATTAGTTAGTACCATTATTTTACACTGCAGAACTAGAGAGTGCAGATCCACATTGCCTAAACCTTAACAGTGAAATTATGTTTTCCTTACTTCTACAATCAACAACTTTTTATCTCCAAAGTGCATTTTGCGAGAAATATGCAATCACTCCCATCATTAAAATATGAAGAACCTGCCTCTGCTTATTGAAGACAGTTTCTAAGGCCAAGACTTTCTATGTTTATTGACATCATTCTGTTGCCATAGTTGTAGTATTCTAAATACTATCATTATTGTATTGTATCTGCATAAATGAATTACTTTTATCAATATAAATTGGATAATGAAACAATTTAGCTTGAAAATGTATGATTTCTATTTTCACAAAATTAAAGGCTTATATAACGCATGTGTAGTTAATGTAATCAAAGGTATGCTATTATTCATAATATTTCTAGTTACAGTCCATTTCCTAACCAACATTAAGTTAAAAAAGGGTGGGGGGAAAAAAAAAAAAAAAAAAAATCATTTCTTATCTATGCATGTATTCCAACAATGCATGGATACAGGATGCCATATAAATATAGACCCGAGAATGCGACAGACGTTAGCTGTTTGTACTAGACACAAATATTTCCTTCTTTCTAATCGGTGTCGCGTTCTCTCTTTGACTTCTTTCTCTTGTGTCTATGGGAAGGTGATCTGGAACGCGATCTTGGGTGTCTGCTCGAGTGTCTGTGTCGACTTGGGGAACGGCTGCGTGATCTGTGGCTTCTTCGGGATCTGGAAATCAATTTTTTCAAGTTAGAAAGGGTCACCTAAATTTCACAAATATTAAAAAAGGTCTTCTAAATTACATACATAAACAGACTATTTGTGATAGTTTTGAATTTGAAAAGAAGAAAAAAATTATTACATGCAAAATTAGGTGAAGAAGAGGAAGAAAAAGGAAATCATTTGAAAATCCAATACTTTTAGAAGGGTTAACAATTATTGCAGGGAATATATTTTTGGCCGAATGATAATTGCAATCTCGCTCATTTTGCCTCAGCACCAATGGTATTCCCCGGCCACCTAACAAGAGCAAAAAACAGACAAGTGCACTCACCGGTGTCTCTCCTCCTCGGGTTCTGCGGATGGGGGAGGCGCCCCTACAGAGTCCTCATCGAAGTACCCTCCCACCGCCTGACACCGGCAGCACATTTGGCGGTGCTCCTCCTCCTCCCCTTGGCCTTCCCAGTTGCCCTGGTTGCCCATGGAGGCTGTCCCCCTGAGCCCCACCCAGAGGGGTTGTCATAGGAACCACCTCCGTAGAAGTTGTTGCCCTCGTTGCCATAGTAGGTGTCACCATACGGGTTACCTCCAAATCTGAGAGAGGAATGGAGGTAAATGAGCAACAATAATAATAAAAATAAAAAACTATATAGCATTTAGGTTTCCAGTTTCAAGCTGCAATTTCAATACCTAAATCCAGCTCCAGCTAAAGCTTAACCATTGTGGCCTGACAGACAGATATACCAAAATAGACCGAGAGTGGTCTTTACCCAGGAAAGCTCTGGGAATAAAGACACAGTGTGAATCTATAGCGTTGGGTCTTCTTACTAAATTTTTAAGCCACTGACAACAAAAATACACAGGCACTGTTAATTATATTAATAACATTTCTCATATTTATCATCATTATAAATCTAAGAAATAATAACAATAACAATATGTTTAATAATGATAATAGTAAGAGAATTAAAACTAATCCACAAATTCAAGGAATGTAGTAAACAGGTAAGGGTAGGTATGCCTAATAATTAACTCATAGCAGAGCATTCTATGAGAAAAAATCAAATTAAGTCAAATCAAAAAAGTAAAAAAAACAGGATTTATTTTTTCTTTGAACTAAAAATTCAAGAAAATATAGAAGAAAAGATCATTGTGCTTCATATTGCTTTAGAATATGAAGCAATCTCTTACAGTATCACAAAGTATGTAAGTAAAGGTCTTTAACCCATGGAGAATAGGGAA